AGTTCCGATGTCTGATCCCACAGAAATACTCATATCATCCTGGCTACTTTCCTGCAGTTTTGCCTAAAACACGAATTATAAGACAAAGTACTATTTCAACATGCTCGCAGCTTTTAATCACATTACGTACATAACTGCATAAGGCAAACGAAAAAAACAGTGAAAGCCAGCCGTCCCAGTTTTTGATGAACAGCCAATAAATATTTAAGTTTGAAATAATCAGAAGATTTGATTTTGAGTTTTTACATTAGGAAATTTTAGAAAGTCCCCAATTTATCAAAACAAAGCTGCGGCCATAAAAGTAAAGCGCGATTTCCTGCCGATAATTAAAAATTCACCTCCATGAAGTCAGAATCAGACGACATATCGTGCCCATTCATCGTTTCCGTAACTTCACTATTTTTCATCAACCTCTGCAACCATTTTTTTGAAAAAAAAAAAGAAAATCAGCGCAATTTCAGTGGATGACGACTGAGAAAGTCAAGCACTAAGTCAGAAAAATCAGCTAGACTGCGATGATAAATATCGAGCACGCAAAATATGCCTTGTTGATAAGCTTCTTGAGTACAAAACACCGCCAAAAAAACTCGACGGTTGGACCCAAGGATCTCTGCAGCTCTGATATCAGTACAGAACTCAAAACGAGGAGCATTTTCTCCTTTGCATAGACACCAGAAGAAAGTTAAAGAGGGAACTACAACCGATACCGGGAAAAAACAGCAATTAAAAAGCAGGGTCAGAACCGCAAGAAAGAACTGTTGCTACATGAGCTCATAACTATGATGCTTAAGGACGGAACTGAACAGCAGACGCGGAGTACATTTATGGGAATACTACAATAACAGGCTTGCAAAACGCACCAATATGCCAGCACCATTGCTCCGTGCTACCAAACAACAAACTACTCTTACGTTTACCAGCGCGGTACGATGTACAGCCTTTCAAAGAAAAAGTATAAAAGGGCTCCTGGCAATAACGGCATTAAACATAAAAAACATCAGATTTGGACCATATGAGAAAGTAAAATACGACGGGCAAGGAAATGTTGCTAGCCTTCTCGACAACCATCGCATATTGGTAAGCGGTATTCGCCAAAAAAAAAAACCTAAGTGACCACGCCGGCGTCCTTCGAAGGCGTGACAAATATGTATACATACAGAACAGGCTGTGGATACAGCTGCAAGTGTGCAGCTCGGGATCAAAGAGCTTGTCAAAGCTGGATGGAACGTACGACAGCACCCCAATAGCAGTACTAGTACAGGACAATCAAAGCGGCCATAAGAATAATTTATTATTCCTACATTTGATTCTATATGCGAACTTTGAAATTATTCACCATATCTTTGATATTACATATTTTATCGTCTAATACTATGTACTTGACATCCATGTATAATCTAGTAATTATATATAACTATGAATATAATTACTTATTACAGAATGATTCAGAGTGATTCTATGAATATAATTACTTATTATAATTATTTATTACAGGATAAATGAGATAATCATGTGATGGAAGTAGCAAGTAATCAACAGCTAATAATCTAGAATTTATAACAGTAAAATTCTACAACTTTTCTATTTCTTCTATTTGCTTAAGGTCTTTCATTCCTTTCATTTCTTTCATTTCGTCTCTTTTACATTTTCTTTATCTTAATTCTATACTCACTAAATTATTCTGTTACCACAATCGTCGTACTGACGAGGTTCAACTGTGGCAGCGGTAAGAAATGTATACGACTTAATGAACCGAAACATTTCTTACCTGTAACAAATATTTCTTTAGACCCTTTTCCCATTTTATTATCCTTTTCCTCCTTTTCATTGTTTCCTTCTTCTCCTGATATTTTCTTTTCAACCCTTAATATCCACGGTATAACGGAATTTTAACAACACACTGTTAAAAGAGCACCTTACGAGTACTGAATGCTGCAGCGCTTCGCGAAACAGCATCTGGATCAGCAAAATTTATTGACGAAAAAGTAGGCGCGTAGCCACCAGCTGAGCCTGGACCCCGCAGTAGTCCTTGACGTTGCCTTCTTCTTAGCTTTTCTGCAAGATGCGGCTGATACCTCTTCCAAAGCTGTTGCCGACAGTATGCCACCTTTGCCATCGATGCCTGCAAATTACAATCAGCTGATGCGCCGCCATTTGCTGAACTATACTAGAGGACGATAGTATGTGAAAATTTTGAAATGTAGAGGGCAATTACTAAAACAGCTCGGCTCGGCTTGGCTAGCCTCGGCTCACCTAGGCCAGCCTCGGCAGCTGCACGAGTTGCCGATTTATTGGCAAGTCTGCAGTGGGGAAGCGGGAAGGGGAAAAGGAAGGGAAGGCGAGGCACGGGGAGAAGAGAAGTTAACGGGAGGAAAAGTGGGACGGGTAGTCGGGGAGGGACGGGGGAAGGGAGGGAGCAGTGGGAACGGATGGGGAGGAGGAGAATGGGGGGAAGCAGAGGGAAGGGTAGAGGGGCCGGTGAGGGAGAGGGCTGTTGTGTGAGAATGGTGACCGCGGAGTCGGAGGCACTGGGGAAGGGGTGGTTAGGTGAGTTGAGTGGGAACGTGCCGTGGCACATAGAGGAGAGAGGGTGATGGGTGGATGGAAGAAGGATCCGTGTGCTAGTTTTGCCGCGGATGCGCGGGATATGGAAAGTGCTCGGGAGGGGGATATACTGCAGAGAGCATAGAAGGGGGTGAGGGAGGAAGGGGGAGAGGATTGGCAATGCATGAGCACACTTTTGGGTGTTGGATTCGAGACGAGAGAAGGGATTGTGATAGGCGGGAGAGGGGGTGGTATGTGCGGGTTTCGCGCGTACAGACTCGAAGCAGAGCGGACAGGCTGGGTGACACTCAATAGCTACGTGATTTAGATCCTTTGGCAGTAGCCTAAGCCACATAAGGGAGAGAAAAAAGGGTGATAGCTTGAAAGGAGAGGAGCAAGAAAAAAAATACCAGCAAGAAAGAAAATAAAAGCAAGAAGTACCAGCAAAAAAGAAACTAAAAGGGAGAAGTGCAAGCAACAAAGAAAGTAAAAGCAAAAAAAAAAGCAAGGGAAAAACCCGCCATAAATAGGGAACATTCCCACTCATAAAGCTGATGCTTAAGTTAAATAAATTGCAACGCGCACCAGACTAGCCGGTGCGATCATGCGTTTTGTGCAATTCAGCCTATCGAACGATTGCATATTAATGATTTTCACTGCTTTGTACCTTTGTCTATGCAAAAATAGTTGAAACATTGGAAAATAGTTAAAAATTTCACGTACTAGCGCATGAAAGCTGAATTCGAAACCTCGAAGGGTGAATATCTTTCCGTGATTCCCGAGTTAATAG